CTTCGCCTGTGGCGCCGGCTCCCCCACCAGCTATCCCTGCTTCCCCCGCTCCCCCTCACCCCCCCAAGGCTGCCCCCCCCCCCACAGGCACAATCAGAACAAGCAGCCCCAGCCTCCCAGCGTTCTCACACGCCTCTCCCTCATCTAGACCCCCGTCAGCCTACGAGCCCCCGGAGAAGAATGCTGAACCAGTTGGCTATGTCCCACAACCGGCCCCCCAGACGGAGGTCAACTACACGAGGCTGGAGCTTGTTCAATTGCTGAGCTCTCAGTCCCACCAGGACTGGATCCGAGCACTGGCTTCCATCAACATCCTGGTGGCTCCGGTTATCCTGGGAGGCCTCACCAACCAAGAGCAGCAGAACCTCTGGTCCACACGAGTGGAGGCTCTCAGCCAGGTGCCCCCGCTCTTCTCGGCCATCAAGTCTGTCAAGACTCAATCTGGCCTCACATGGGACACCGCCATGTCTGTGCGGCGAGTCCTAACAAGTGACGGCCGAGTCACCATAGCCACAGGCTCTGGAGAAGCATATCAGGAGCTGGATGCTCCCACAAAGGTGCATGGCCTGATCCATGCCTGCTTCAATAGGCTATGGGAAGAGAAAGAGTTCCAGCGTCACTTCCCAACGCGAATTGAATTCAACATGATCGCTACTACCATGATGACGGTCTACAACGAAACTGCGAAATCCGCAGGCCTCCCAGCTAGGATGTTCAGGGTCAAGCCCAACAAGGATGCCTACTCCGTCATGAAGATGAGAATTCAGCATGACAAGGGGATCGAGGAAGATAGGCGAATGGCCAAATTGGCAGCGGCCAACAAGCGCCCGCAGGTGCATGAGGCCGATACAGAGGGCAAACGCCAACGCGATGCCCCCTCCTCCTCTTCCTCCAGTCAGTGGGCCAGGCCGGCAGGCTCCACTCAGGAAGAAGACTGGGACTGGTGGCAACAGTGGTCCTGGCACGGCTACTATCACTCTTCACCGCAGTGGCCGCAAGGTCACCACAAGTGAACCTAGAGCAATGTCACAGACTACACTAATCCCGTATGGCACAGCCTCTGGGAATTCGATGCTCTTCCGACGACTCTGCACATCTCTTCGGAAGCTGCAGTGCTGAGCGATCAACAAAAGCAAAATGCAGGCCTCTGCACTACGTCTGAGCTGATCCGATCAGTCAGCTTTTGCAGTCTGACTCAACCAGCTCTGCAGGTACTGCAGGTACGCACACGTGATCCTTACGGCCTTCTGTCAACAGCATGAGTAATCCGTGTGGGCCGCCACGAGACGGATACTCCAGGTGTCGGCTTCATATGAGGTACGGCCTACTTGCTGGGACAAGTGCACAGATGGACGCGTCTGTTCACAACAAGGTGTCGGAGGAAGAAGCCATAGTTGTAAATTTACTGGGTAGTCTGAGCAGATTGAGAGGTCCGAGCGATGTTTGCTAACAACAGTTTCACGAGTGCACGAGACCAAAGGCGCCCGCAAAGCGCAGAGCACGCTCGCGCAGCGTTCAATTGAAAAAATAGTAGTGGTAGTGGTAGTGGCAGTGGCAGTGGCAGTGGCAGTGGTAGTGGCAGTGGCAGTGGCAGTGGCAGTGGCAGTGGTAGTGGTAGTGGTAGTGGTAGTGGTAGTGGTAGTAGTAGTAGTAGTAGTAGTAGGAGTAGTACTAGTAGGGGTAGTGCTCGTACTAGTACTAGTACTAGGAGTAGTAGTAGTAGTAGTAGTAGTAGTAGTAGTAGTAGTAGTAGTAGTAGTAGTAGTAGTAGTAGTAGTAGTAGTAGTACTAGTAGTAGTACTAGTAGTAGTACTAGTAGTAGTACTAGTAGTAGTACTAGTAGTAGTACTAGTACTAGTAGTAGGAGTAGTAGTAGCAGCAGTTCCCCAAACCGTCCTTGCACGATGGGGCTCTTACGTTCAAGGTAAACGAATACGTTGCGGGCCGCAACGGCCCACGCGCACCAATTTCAGTGCTCCCGCTGGCTGTGGTTTCGCGCGACTTCTGCGTTTCGACGCTCCCGCTGTGGTTTCGTGCGAATTCCCTTGCGTTTCAATGCTCCCGCTGTGGTGTCGCGCCCTCTGGCTTGCTCCGGCCTCTTCTGGGGGCCCGCTTAGGTGGCCAAAGCTCGAACAGCGATTTTAAATGGGATTGGGCAATGATGCTGCATGTCATTGAATCCACGCCTTTCCAAGTGCCCAAACATCCATGGTGCATTGCCCGCATCACCCGATGTGCAGCAACAGAGGGATCGAACACAATGAAGCACTTTCGTAATGCAGGCTTGCTTCAAAGCACCGTTGTTCGGCACGCTTTGGTGACACCTACATGACTAGAAAACGCCGCGGGTGCTTTTCCTGGGTGTTCCAGATGGCCTGATGACCAGGCACCAAGAAGCACTGGCAAAGATGACTCGACAACTGCGGCACAGGCCCCAAGGCTTCCAGTCGAGCAACTTCTCGCGAAAGCCGGCAGGCTTCGACGGCTCGGGCCTGTTTCAGCAAAGGCACGTGCTTCCACACATGTCATGCAACAACCACAGACGAGCCCTCGATTGAGCATGCTCTGCATGTTCGTTCTCCGGGAACGATCCAACGTCCTCAACACCGAAACCAAGTTTGCGAAACACTGCATGCTTTGAAAGCGTCCTGTGTAGCAGGTGCAGCTTGGACGCTTGTCTGCCTGTGTACCGCATGACTTGGACCAGCCCGAACACATTGGAATATGACAAGCCGGCACACAGAACTTCTTGCTGTGGATGCATTAGCCCACCGTGCTCATACAGGACCGTCTTTGCAAGACTTCCTTGACTGTCCAGCAGTCGCCTCTTCGACGCAGGACGCACCGTAACAACCTTAAGAACAAGAACTTGCAACTGTGGTATCGGATTTGCGCGAACCGAGTGGATTGTTCCGGACTCTCTCACCAGAAACAGCTCAGTCGATATCCTGTCGAAGATTCGGCCTGTCACAGAGTTCAACGACTAGGCAGGTAGAGAAGCGAAGCTCATCAGGCAGCACCTGCAACCAACAACTTCCTTGAGGATGTCTTGACCATCTCGAGTAGCAGCCTGCGAACGCTGTCCAACATTGTCTAAAACTTGCTTAGAACAAGACCGGTAACTGGAAGGACCTGCACCCAACCTTCCACTGGATGCGTGATCCTTGCATGCAATGGCTTGCGCTCTATTGAAACCTTTCGTTTATGCGAGGTTCAACCACCGCGACGCTTCTACGAGACAAGATCAAGGGATGTGAAGAGAGGTGAGTTTGATCTTCGTGATTAATGCATGCATCTCCGGAACTGTTTCGCTTGTGATCTTCAAAGACAGTCTGTGTATCTATCTGCTTTAGCCACTTTGTGCACAGTTTGGGAAACGCTTCCGACTAGGAAACCAGTACACATATATCATCTGACGTCATACCGACTTAGTCAATGCAGTTGTGTTCGTGCGAAACGAGTGCAGAACACGAACGGAGAAAGCACAAACCAATGGAAGTAATCTGACCAGCCGTCGGTTCGGGACAAGCATGACAACGTGCAGGACGGACGAAGAGGGATCCAATGCAACCACACCGCCCCTCTCTGCATGGCATTTACAGCATCCTCACAAACCTCTCCAAAACAATTCACCACGCCCGCCAAACAGCAACTCACTGCCACAGAGGCTTGCGTTCTCCGGTTCTGCCGCGTGCTGCACAAGCTTACACGATTCGAGCTTGATGACTCAAGACTTGACCCAGAGTCCGAGAAGTGCGAGGAATACTTTCGTTCATGTGCCAAGCATGCATGAGTTAAGTCCACAAGCCCCTATCTTCGACAGAGGATTCACAGACAGTAGCACCGAAGACTCAAACAAAGCCTTTTCCTGCATAAAACTTTTTCCATCCATGCGTGCTGAATCAAGCACGTTCAACTTTCAGAGCTGAAGTCCTTGTCAGATGATGTCAGATGCGTAAGGTCCGGGCTTCAGCCAGCGACCTTGGCGAGGACCCATTCCTGCCATGACCTTAAGATCAAGAGAGCTTCTCATCTGGAACCCGAGACGCCTTCGCTATGACGCCTCGTCGTGCACGCGAAGCGCGAAGATCGGTCTGTCGCTGCGGTCGCCCCTCCCAGGTCCGCTCTCAACGCCTCGGACTTTCCAACACCCAACGCAACACCAACGCAGCTCTCAACTGCCTAGGGCCTAGGGAGGTCCCTTCGTAGCCAGCAGGCGGCCTTGTGGATGCAAGAAGGCATAAGAAGGTTCTTACGTCGGTCTGCGCCAGGCCCGGCGCCGCAAGCGGAGTCTCGGAACGTTCTGCATCACCTTCCAGGAGCAGATGGAAGGACGGCATCCGACGGCTGACCCTCCGAGAGGCTCACGGATGTCACCTCGAGATCCTGCGCATGGCTTTAAACTACGGCAGCGAGTTGGAGATTGTTTGCCATTCTTCCTCTTTGCATTGCCGCCTGGCCGTGCACTTGAACGGAGCTTTGCATCGTAGATGCAGCATGGGCATTTACCTCCCAAAACAAACAACCCATACGTCTTTGGTGGCAGTCCCACACTCGCATATACTGGCGTGTCATCTTCTAGCAGCAGCAACGTAAGCTGTCGACACGTACGGTCACCCCGCTACCTGAACAACACCAAAGAAAACTGAAATCAAGTCGGGCCAAGCAGATAGCACAGGAATTGCAACTTAAAAACAGTAGCTCCATCTTTTGGCGCACTTGGCCTCGCCGCAACAGACATGAGGGTCTGACGATGTCCGCAAGCATCTTAGCAACCTGAGTCCTGAAGCTCGGTACAGCGACTTCATCTATCCGACCGACGTCAACGTTCTCGAGGCAGTGCGTTCATTCGCAAATGACCACGTCCATGCAAGCATGAAACTGCCGGGTCTGCAAATACCATCTGCAGCAGTCGCTAGGCAGAGGGGAACATCTCCGGCGAAGCCGCGCACATTCAACTTCCGGAGTCCAGAGCTTGAGTGAAGATTCCGGACTTCAGATCACGCCGTACTGATGTCCATTCCCGAACCCGCCCATTCATGCACACCTGCCAAGTTGTTTGGCGAACGCGAGCCGTCAACGAGAATGCAGCAAACTCGTTCCGAAACATTCTGCAAACTCTCTACTCTCTACTAAGGAAACTGCAAAAATGCCACGCTGAGATGCGTATATACCAGGTAAAGCCGTGTCCAAGGCGCCGAAGCAAACACCTGCACAATGTAGCAAACAACTCGAGCAAGAAACGCCGAAGTACTTGCCGACAGCATGTGCATGCTATCTTTGCCCACTCAACCAAGATGCCCATGTTGAAGTGAGCATCCGTGTCCACGAATTTTTCTGGAAGCATTGCGCCGGTCAGACAAATTCGCTTGGTGGCCAGATTTCCTCGGAAAAGACCCACGCATCACGCACATGGCAACGTCCAATGCTCTTATGATTCAGGACACTTCGGCCCATTGGCCCCAAGCAGTTTATAAGTCTATACACATGTGCAAACAGAAAAAGCACGCTGACTTTATCATGTTAAGACATGTTTGAGGCATTAGTCAGGCACAGTCCTGCGCGATGGCCCAAGTAGCAGGCCGTTTCGACTAAGGTGTCGGTGCCGTGGGTTATGATGATCTGCAGGAGGTCTTGCTTTCAAAGCGAGCGCTCATGCTCTGGGCTTGCAACTTGCACATCTAACAGCAACAGTAGCAATGTGACCTGATCGCCAGGCCATTCCTTAAGACAATGCTCGAACGCATGCTAAACAACAAAAACATATTCTTTTGCTGATCTCTGGAAACTTAATCTAGATTCAGTACTGGGACAGGCTTCGTTGATGTCCGAACAGTCATCATCAGCTCCGTGCGACTTCTAGTCTGAGGCCTCCACCTCGCAAGCTTTTAAGATCTGTGATCGATCTGTGTCCGAAATCTCCTTCGGCAGTTCCACATGTCTTTGACTACATGCAAAGCGACACCCAAACTGTGATGCTAAAGTGTCCTGCGAGTCTTTGGCACAAACGCTCTGGACCTCAAAGCTGAATCCTGGAACAGTCGACTCCGGCAACCCCCATCAATTGCCCGTTCTCACACCATCTTCTTTGAGAAACATGAGTAAGCAATGGTCGGACAAATAACTTGCGCATATAGCACAACATGATGCCAATGACCAGCCACCTAGAGAGGCCCTGCCTGCCGGAAAGATTCGGTCCAAAATCCTGGAACGTGGCTGTAAGCAAAGCAAGCGGAATGGGCCATGACAACACCTGCGGCTAGGCACCGACCAGCTGCGGGATCTCCGATCTCGAAGCCCCAGCCACCCGTCACTCGAGGATAAGCCTGGAGGCAGACCTATCCTGTCTTGGCACCACTTCTAGCAAATAATGATCCTACTGCTGCTTTCCGCTACTGCTATTGCCACCACCACCACCACCACCATCACCACCACGACTACGACTTCGACTACGACCACATCATGACATCTGCGTCCAGGCCTACGACTACCACTACCACCACCACGACCACGACCCCGATCACGACCACGACTCCTACCAGGAGCAGGACCAGAAACACGACTATGGATACGGCTACTGCTACTGGTGCTGCTGCTACTGCGACGACGTCTGGCGGCAACTTAAGGCTGTAGTGTTTAGTTTCACGCTGATTTCGTGCGACTTGGATGGACGCTGCCTCCCCAGATCAATGAACACTAAGATGTCCATTAGACCATTTGCAACAACTACCATTCACATTCTTTGTTGCACCTGTGTCCGCCAGAATCCGGCTAAGTTGTCGGACATCTTGTGTCTCTGCTCGGCACTTACTCGATTTACTGCAGCCTTGCAAACACGGCAGTCGTCACCCACTGCAAGCCAGCTTAATGCGCGGCGGTCGTGGACACACAAGAGCACCACACACTGCACGACACCGATTTGAGAAATTCTGCACGAATCTGGATTTTTCACGCTGGCATGACGTGTTCCTCATGTGTCTTACGGATTCTCGCTGTGGTCCTCTTCATTTGGGTGGTGGTACCAAACTGCAGACTCCCGCCGATTCATGCAGAGCAGTGCAGCAGGTGGTCGCAGCAAGAAGCAGCCGTCTTTTCAAGACTATGCCGGTAGTATGGCAAAAAGTCGCTCATTCCGTACTTGGAACTCTTGACATGAAAGCTTGTGGAATGGCAAGACCACTTCGTAAGTCGCGATTCAGTCAAGCATCCAGATGCACACGCGCATGCAAGATAGTGTGCAAGATGGAAAGAAGCAGCTCAGGGAGCAGATCAAAGCACAGTATGCGTCGATCCCTAGATAGTGATGGAGCACCACGACGACCACGACGACCACTTTGATCAGGACGACCGCACCAGGACCACAACGACACGCGACGAGATTATCAGCAGATCCCGCGAGAGGGCACCGCCAAACTGCTTTGCTCAAGTGGCCCGATTGTGATTCAGGAGCACGGCACGTATTGTTCGTAACAATTTCCACCCACATACAGGCGGGATTCAGGAGGACGGCAAAGATGCCTTCTCCTGCATTGGCATGATGAGTGCTCCAAGCCAAAAAGTGGCCCATGTATTAGACTTTACAATCATGTAGCTTTTCGGCAGAGTGTTTCCAGCAGATTCTGTGTAAAACCCAGCTCGCGAGTGTAAAGCGTGCACCGTGCAGCGCAGCCGGGGAACGTTTTCTTTCCCACGCAGCTCCACTTATCAGTTGTCTCTGCTCCTCAGAACCTGAGAATGTGTACAACACTTGCGGTCACACTAATGCACGGCATGAGCACTTGCACAAAAGGGAAGCGTGGTGGCAAGCCTTGTGTTACGTGTGCGATGCCAGTAGACGTGCTTGGTTGGCCTACTCAGCGACGAGCAAGCAGCAACCAAAGGAAAGATAAAAAGGATCGAAAGGGGTCTGCGTGTCTCTACTGCACAGCTCGGAGCAAAACAGACACGGACGAGAGTTAAAGGCCTTGTCAATCGTTCCACCGGTTGCGATAACCAAAATGCATGGCCTCAGGAAATGTGTGCAAGTCCCGTGTATGGACAGCGTCATCCTTCACCGAGCTGTACTTCCACTTTCATTTCTACGCTCATAACTGAGGCTGATGCTCCGCACGACCTAGGAGGTGGCCTCTTCGAATCAGAATCAGGTCTTTTGCTGTGTCCTGACATTTGCCTCACCGACGCAGTTAATGACTGGAAACTGGCCTGCCATCTGCACCCGACGACTCAGGGTCGGTGAACAAAGTTGCCACTTCACCAGAGTTGCACCAAGTCCAAGAAGCAATGACAGAGATGGGATGATCTTGCGACGTCCACCCATCCATCTCATCATACCGGCTAGCCTCTCCCTGTCTGAGCCAAGCACAGCATGCAAGGACCCAGCATGAACCACTCTGGCCAGAGACAGTGTTTTCGAAATCTACATCGGCACTGGCAAATGCTATGCCTTCCACCGTCAAGTATGTCACGGAGAACTCGAGGAGATCTCCGCAGCTGCCACTGTGCTGAAACTTTGCCTGCAGCCACGTCAAGGCAAGCGAAAAGCCAATCTGTGGTGCTCTCGAGTATGCCTCTTTGCCAACAAGGAAGGCCTGCCTGGACTGTTGGTGACGGGTGAGAAACTGGAGTCTGCAGTAGCACACGCCTCGACGTCACACGATGCCGATTTGCACTGAAGTTGGGGAGACGGTCAGACTGGGCTGTCGGCTCCACGAGTGCACCATGATCTTCTGTACCTGGCATGCACTGGCCACGTGAAAGCTCGCATGCGGATTTAATGGCAAAAAAACTCTGGCCTTCCAGCGCAGAGACCACTGGAACAAGCTGCAGGAAGCTTCCTGCTATCGCCTTTCGCGTTCGCGTGGCCACATCTTGGCACCCTTGGAGTATCAATGGCCTGGGCATCGGTCGACGCGCGGATAGACGGTTTTCAAGAGTTCGGCCATACATGGCCTCCCCGATAAGTTGCAAACAACGACCTGCTCCGAATCCAAGAGTAATTCTGCTTCTCTCTGTGCTGGCAGCTAGAGATAGCTAGAGTAAAAGGAGCCTCGTAAAGGCGCTCCTGGCGAAGAACTAAGCTCCGTGGAGCTTTGGCCTCGGGCCGCCCGGCGATTCGAGAACTGAAGACCAGACCAAGCTGTGCAGCTGGGCCTTTTGGACTTCAAAGATCCACGTGGCAAAGTCACTTGGGGATACCTCGCGACAAGACTTCAAGTACCCCCCCAGATATTTCCCCATCTTGCTCGGAAAAAAGGGGCTCTCACCTGCAAGTACACCGAGTCCGTCGTACGGCGATTACAAGGCCTGCAGCTTAACTCTTTTGGACCAAACATGCAAGATATTGCAAGCTGCCGAGTGCAGCGATCTTAGGCTTGGACTTGCTGTCGACATTCAGAAACCAACCAACTGCCTCGCTCGGACCAACCTGTGCTTCTATCGAAAGGTGTTTACAGCACACAGTACACTCACAAAATGGGAATCCCCGCTGCCAAGCGAAGCCTGTAGGTAGGGGATACTCCTCGATATCCACGAAGCCACAAGTGCGGAAATCTATCTCAGTGACTATCGCAGTGACATGCTCATAAGCTGCAGTCTCCTGATGAAACATCAAGGCCACCTTGCGGCTCAATCATCCACCTGAGCGCTCCCATTCCCTTTCAGAACATCACAAGTCTCACACATCATCTCTACAGCCAAAGCACTCGGCAGCGGGGACGTTGTCATCATCTCGAAAGCCAGAGGAAGATGCTTCTCACAAAATCTGCAGAGAATTCCGCTGCCTTTCCTGACGATGACGCTGTGCCACCGCTGCGCATCTTCCGCCTATCATGAGAGCATGCTGCGTTGTGCAAAGAACGCCAGCCCACAATCATCATTTTGAGCTGTCGGCAACATCCAGAAGCCAGCCGCTTGTCTGACTGAAGTGATTGGACACGAAACGAATCAAAAACCTGAGCCAGTTTGGATTACTCGCTCAGCGCACTCAGTCAACAATGCAGTCGCATCAGGTTTTTCACTATCTGCGAAGTCTCGGCATGCCAATCTGAACTCCTTGTAGGGTCCAACACCGCGTTTTACACAATCGTGCCTTTCGGACTTGCCAAATCCGATTTTTTGTTGAACTATGTTTACACACGGCTGTGGCCCGTCGGGAGCATCCATCGGCTTAAATGCCTCCTCCTGCCGACAAGAATGTTGGAATGATAGAACATGCGTGGAAATAAAACATATCTAAACTGCGAAAACTGGCAGTAGCAGCTGCAGAAGGACAGCCTGGACAGCCAGTGCCGCTAACAGAAAACGCCCCAAGCAGGTACACATGCAGGTGAGCAGGTGTCCACTCAGATGAAGACTGAAAGTCGGCGGAGCCCGGTTCTAGCTGCCACTCGCCGCCGGCAAGGCCAGGTCTGTGTGCGCTCACACGAGTCCTTTGAGGTACCGAAGAGCCGCCCCTTCCCCTTCGCTTCAGCAAGACTAAGACACTGTCCCCGAGGAACTCACGAAGTGCAGTCTCTTTGGTCTGCTTTGACACTGCGTTGCCTCGAGTTCACAAGAGCAGATAACTGACGGAGCGCCTGCAGCTCCTGGAAGTTACAAAGGCTTCTCCAAAAACTAAACTTCACAAAACTGTCACAAAACGTTCCATGGGGAGCTAGATCCCCAGAGTCCAGATTGACAGCTCGTGAATCTGGGGCCCTCACGCATCCACACACCAACCAGCATTTTGCTGAGGTTCCCTTACATGCCCAGCCCCGTTGCCAGCTTTTGACCAGCACTTGCAGCTAATCAGTGGGCCCGACGCAAGGCGAATCCTGACAACGGGCCTTCCATCCTCAAATTCCTCGTGAAGCACAGATGGATGGCCACGTTGCGCCGGTTGTACAACCAACTTGTGCACCGAGACGCACACAGCAGGAGCCGGCGGCTTGAGCGAAGGCTGGTCTGCAGCAACCTGTTCAATTTTCTCAAAATCACATCCATGTGAAGCTGCCAGCTGCATGGGACCGACAAGGCCTTGCGCGTGAGGCGCAATGGTTGGGAAAGAAGCATGAGGACGGCTAAACATGCTCAGTTCTTTGATGAACCACTCTCAAACACACGATTGCCAGACTAAGTCTACCCCATGAAAAACACACGTCGAAGGCAACACTATTAGTCACTATTAACCTGCTCCTGCAAACCCGCCGCCGTTCAATTCTTCGAAGCCACTGCCCAAAGGGGGGGGGTTCTACCAGATTTGATCCAAAATCGAATTTCTTTATACAAACTTTAGTACTGGAGGTGTCTCTTTTGGGCTAGGGTCAAATTTCCGGTTCAAGGGTCCCCAACCCTGAACAACAACAACAACAACACCACCACTATGCCCGATCGCTCAAGCCAAATACTGCGAAGACATGGTAAGATACTCGACCAACTGCTCTCGGCCGGGACAAACAGCTGACAGCTGTGCGATCATGAATTGATTCATGACTTATTTCGTTCAATGCTGCACGCACTGCAGCAACTTGCAGAAGACCTATGCGAGATACATGCATAACACGAATACAGATAAGAAACTTCTACTGGCTGGAACCTGACATATTGGCATGTCCTGTGTACATGCTAGCGGCACGTCGGCTCTGCTCAGGTTGGCAGAAGAGCCCTCACCTGTCAGGGAAAAAAGACAGAGACATCTCGATTCTACCAGGGCTAGACCAAGACTAACAGACACTAAGAACTTCACTCATATTCCGGCACATAGGCGCTGTCAATGACTCCTGGACCGTCAGGCTATACGCAACATGTCAGTGACCAGCCAGAAAGGATTGCACCGTGCGCCACATGCCCCGATACCTGCCCCTGGACGCTCAAGTTTGCAGGCCTCCAGCCGTGCCCACGAAGCTACTTGACGGAGGAAAGACAGGTTTGCACAAGATTCATGCGACTCTGTAGTCGCGAGCCCGAACAGGACTGGAACACGAGAAGAGGACATGACACCTTGTAGAAGAAGCAGTCACCACGGCCGATTGACCACTTCATCTCGTGAGTATCGATTGTGTGGCAATTTCTGACCTGCAGAAGATGGAAGCAGTGCGACGTGCGTCGTTGACACATGACTGTCCATAGCTGTAGGAATCGCAACACACATCGCTAAGTTCCACGCAACGACGGTGCCTCCTTTCGTGAGCAGGTACTGCGCGATGTTGTTATGCCCAAACTCCTGACGTAGCTCTAAACCTCCTACGACACCGGGACAATGTTGCGCACACACACACACACACACACACACACACCTGCGCTTAATCAAGCGATTGATCGCATTTGGATGGAAGGAAATCGAGCCCCTGATACTCGTCGTCGGCGTCGTGGTCGTCGTCCTCTCCCCCTGCTCCTCCACCTGCGGTTTCTCCACCTCCCGCATCTCCTCCGCCTGCTGCAAGGCCTAGCGACCGCTTATCCTCCTCCACCAGCTTCATCGTCGTCGTCATCATTAGCATCGTCAACTGCAACAACAGCATCATCACCAATGGCAACAGCCTCATTCTCGCGATCAGCACCTCCTGGCCACTAACACCAGGCCTGCTATCAAAAATGTCATGCTCATTTGTATCACAGTCATCCATATCCTTGTCATCATCACCATCTGAAGTATTACGTCTTCGTCATCCTTGTCATCCTCATAATCGCTAGCCACTGTGATCAGGATCTTATCCCTCATGGGCTATCACCAAGTAATCATGATCAGTTCTGGCTTACATGCCTTCTCCAGTTTTGCCCATTCGTGAGTGGAGTGACCACTTACGACAAGCCAAATCGGAGTTATCCTCCTCCACCAACTCGTAAGAACAACACCAAACGACACCACCAATGAATCGAAGCGTTCAGGTGTATGCGGCATAAACTCAGCAAGTGCAGCGCTTAGGAAGCCGGCAGGCTATATGAACACCGACTGGTCCTTGGCAATGAAGACCTCACGAAAAACAGCTTGCAACAAAACAAGACCCTATCTGTCTGCAAAGCTCATGGTCAAGAAAACCTCAATGCCGAAAAGGAGCGGCGTTCCCATTCCACAGAACGGGATTTATCTCGTCGACATCCTGCACATCCAGCTATAATGTAACCGTTGGAAGATTTCCCGACCCAGTGCAACTTTAAGGCCATTAGAACCTGAAAACAATTCGACTGCTCACAAATAGGGGCCGTCCACCTGTCCATTGTCTATGTACTCCTTGACACGGTTAAAGTCACCTGTTCGAGCCACCAGAGTGTCACCAAAGGAAGCAGTTTTGATTTTGGATACAGCCTTTGCGCTAAGAATACGTGCCTGCACAACACGCTCCCCACCATGTGTGTTGGGAGCCCTTGCTCTTCAAGTATTCACCTTCACAGTTCATGCAAAGTCTGCAAGGACGTGCTGCAACAAGGTAAATGCAGGCAAGTCACAGATTGGATGCTCGTTGGGGAACCTGTACCCCTGCCACGGTGCAAATCTAAATTCAACCCAGGGTGCTGACTGTGGAAATGCACAAACGCTCAGGAACAAGTCACCTCGTAGCCAGCATAGTCGATGGCGCGTAGACCTGCAAGAAGAGATGCGCCACCCATGCGAGTGCGAAACGAAACGTGTCGGGCTCATCCTGCACGAGACAACGGGCCATCCAGGTCCGCTTCGAAGTCTTCAACAAGTAGTTGAACAAGATCCTGCCACGGATGTGTTTGCGCATGTTCGTGTGCGACGCATGCCCTGCATACCTCGACACTACATAAAACGAACTTCTTGTCAAACGCTCTGGACGTTGACGGTCCCAATTGCCCATCATGGATGAGATCATCAGGGCAGTCATGTGGTTGCTGTCCAAAGGAGCGTTCGGATTTACACCAGCCTGCGCAAACGTACCACAACCCGCGCCAATGAAAGCAAGTCTGCTGCTTGGTGCTGCCAGCTTCCCTGCCTGCAACAGCTTCCGCACGGTGAAAACATCACCATCCACCACAGCTTGCTCGAGTTCATATAAGTCCGGTGGCAGGGTGTCTCGAAAATAATCGCCGGAATACCGGTTTGGGAATTTGCGTTCCTGCCAAAACAAAGCCGACGATGACACGACATCGCACTCAACGCAAACACATGCCTCCAGCACAGGATAGTCCAGCGCCCATGACGGAAGCGTCATGGCCAACACCTCCTCTGCAAGCCTTTCGCTGCAGCACGGACATGACGAAATATTTGTGGCTGCGCCAACATTCACATCTGTGTCGGTAGACAGTCCTACTGTCCAGCGCCGAAGTCGACAAGCTGCTAACAAACTACGGACCCACGCCAGCAAACAGCACCATAATGCAAAAAACCATGGCATTCAAAGTTCAGAAATCGTTCAAGCCCGCAAGTCACTAAAAAAAGCCTTTGATGTATTTATAATGCTTTTGGTGGCTGGAGCGATGTTGCTTTGGGGCTTCATTTTGGCTTGGCCGGCCAAGTTCACCAGATTCTTTTGCACGGCACCAGTATACATTCAACATGATTTCGAAGTTTGCAAGAACTTGTGAGAGCAGATGTGGAAACATAAAGCAAGACTGAAAATGATATGATGAAACATGAGAGTTAAGCATCACAAGCTGTGAATCAAGCGGGCGAAAACCAAAATGTGAAACAATCACACTGCAGACCCCAAAAGGAATATATCAATGCAGCAAACCGAACATATTTCCATACACAAGTGTTCGATGACCTGGATGTACAGTGTACAAATATTCCACATTTAACAATGCTCAAATCATATCAAGCGCCTGCATGCAACTCCAAATGTCGAAACACCGTGAAGGAAGGATGCTGCATCTCATCATTGGGGCACAAACTGACACTGGTGCCCTCGTGCATTCCAACAAATCAGACGCAAGATCATGCAACAGCTTGGAAAACGTGGTTGACTTGGGTTCCACTCGTATCGCGACAATGCCACTGGCATTGTGGCAACTTTCCAAATTGACTGTTTTTTCACAAGCAAAGTTAGATGGCGCACGTGCAATCAAACAATTTGTTTGTCACAGAAGAGATCAGATTTCGGTGCGCGAGAAGAAGTGCTTGTTTTCAAACGCAAAAGACGAACAAGCGTGACAGCACAGCTTTTTCAGAACCTGCAGACTCTTGAGCCAACAAGCACCCGTTCCATTGCTCACCTCCAGCTGTCGAACAGAGCTGTGATTGGAATCGAAGAATTGGAGACTTTGAAAGAGCGGGTTTGAGAAAAACAACATGAAAAGAAGGAGAAAGCCACACGCGGAAAACTTCGAAACCTTCACGACCAAGCTCTTGGGGTTCACAAACACCAAGCACTCACGAAGTTTGTTTCCAGTCACTCTCGCCGACCAAGCTGAACTGCACTCTCATCTAAGCGAGCAAAGCAAAGCCTGCACACACTCCTTCTTTTCACTCCGCCTTGAGCCAAGACAGTTCGCAGTCAGTCACAACCTTCCTCTGTCAAGCTGGAAGCTTTCTTGTGCTTCACCTGTACAAAACACTGAGACTGCGAAGCAAAACTGAGCTCGAAACCAAGCGGCGAACTTCAAACTTCACGAGCAGTCGCACGTTTGAAACGTGCCACTGCACTTCAAAAGCAGTTCAGTCACTCATGAAAACATGAAAACAAATTCATACCAAGTCAAATCATGCAACATGCGCTTGAAATTTTTCTCACTTTTTGCTCTTTACCAATTTTCGAGCTTCTTCGGCTTCTTGCTATAAACTGTGATGGCAGTCGTCGCTGTTTCCAGCCATCTGACTTGAATAGAGGTGGTCTGCATCAAGCCACTTCCAAGAAGGCGTGCAGATCCTAGACCAAGGTCAAGGAATGGTCGACACAGCTCCATCTTTGCCTCTTCTCTTCCGACTTTGTCTTCTCGGACTTTTCAGCTCTGTCGGAACCTACTTTGCAGCCAAGGACGTTTGCAGTTGCGTGAGCCAACGCAGAAAGTAATTCTAAGCAACCGCGAATATGCCTGGTTTCAAGCAGACTCGACGTGTGTGGTAAAAGATTTGACAGAACAGCCCCGCAAACCACAAACACCATGGGTTC